TTCTTAATAATAAGACCAGAAATGACAACAAAACTGCATTACTGAATTGTGGAGAGACAATAATCTCTTTTAAAGAGTTTATGGCTGCTGATCTACTCCAGGCTGCCCTTATAAAAAATAAAAATAAAACACTACCCAGACAATCGTGTACAGATGGAAAATGTTTGTTTCCATGTGCTGCACTCTCAGACTCTCAAGTAATTTGTAGTCAACCGAGGAAGCGGTGCTGTTTTTGTACAAAAGAAGAAGAAATATTCACATTTTTGTTCATGTTTGATTGACATGTTTTATATTTCACTTATGTTCTGCTCTAATAGAGAATGTCAACAGTCAGAGGTCATTTGATTACCCTGGAACATTTAAGAATTTAAAAAAATACATATAAAATTTTTACTAAATACATTTTAAAGACACAAAATAACTGCATTAAAATCTGTGGAAGTCTGACGCAGTGAGGCTCGTACAAAGTCGGCAACAACCAATAAATGACATAGTTTATTAAATCAGACAGCAAATGCTACAAGTGAGCTACATTATTGCTCCGGCGTAATGTAAGAGACTGTCAGTGTGCATGCTTTAATGCCGAGAGGTCTCGGGCAGGGATTGATATTGCTTCATTTCAGCTTGTCGAGTTGTTTCTCTCCCCTCTGAGGACTCAGTGTACGCCACATTCATAACAGAGCAACAGAACGATCATCATCTGCAGAGTTTTACTATCACAATTTTCAGCAGAGCTATAATAGTCATCACGGTACCACAACAATGTGATGATAACTTGGAGGAAATGGCAAGAAAAAACACTTATGGAGAAACAACAGTCCCTTTCCCCTCCCTCCTTATTGTTAATTATTCATACTAATGTATGATGTGCGTATATTGAAATTATATTCTACGCGAGTGAGCCATTGAGGGTAAGACAAAGGCAAAGGGTATCAGAGCTGGCAGCGAGTTTCCGATTTTGATGGCCCAGTGACTTCACATGGTATGAAATCAGATTAAACTAGATGCCATTTCTCCACCAATTAAAGCATTGGATTGTTAGTTTTGTAATTAGAAGCTGGAGAGAAATTTTAAATGTAAGGAGTGGGACTTTTGTTCTACTACTACTACACTACTGTCTTTTTGGTAAACCTCTACAGATTAAGATAAACACAGCCCTGTGTGAAAAGTTATTTGTACACTTGTCAGATACTTTATTGGGTACACCTTGCTAGTACCAAGTAGTACTTATGTAAAACATTAATTCTTTGTGGCATAGACTCAGCAAGAGCCTGGAAACATTCCTCACAGATTTTGGTTCATTTCTACATGACAGCCTTACATAGTTGGAGGCTTGTTATCCCTCAGAGCTGGAAGAGCCATCAGATGACAGCTACTATGTAGTTATAAATGAGGATGATATGGTCAGTAGCAATACTTGGTGTTTTAACTAGTGCTCAGTTGGCACAAGAGGGAGCCAAGTTTGGCAAGAAGATATCCCGCACACCACTGCACACTACCAGCAGCACGTACTGCCGATAGGCTACAAAGGTAAGATAGAACTGTGCTTTGTTTATATTCTGTTTATGCCAAATTCTGACCCTACCATCCAAATGTTGCAGCAGAAATTGAGGCTCATCAAACCGGGCAACATTTTCCAAATTTCTGTGGTCAAATTTAGATGAGCCTGTGTGAACTGTAGCCTAAGTTTCCCCATTCTCTGATGGCACCTGGTGTGGTCTTCTGCTGCTGTAGACCAGATAGGTGCTCTTCTGCAGATTTTGGTTATAACGTAACATAAAGTGATTATTTGAGTTTGAGTTCTCTTCTGACCTCTGCCATTAACAAGGCATTTTCTCCCAGAGGACTACTGCTCACTGGGTATTTTCTCCTTTTCAGACCAATCTCTGTAAAACTTAGAGATGGTTTTTGGGGAAAATCCCAGCAGATCGCCAGTTTTTGAAATACTCAGCCCAGCACGTCTGGCACCAACAACAATGACATGCTCAGCATTACTTAAATGACCTCATTCTGATTCTGTTTGAACTTGTCTATGTGATTAACCAATTAGATATTGGTGTTAATATACAGTTGGAAGGATGTACTTAAAGTCCTGGTAAGTATCTAATCCAATATCTAATTGGTAATTAAACAACCATAACAATATAACCACTTGAGTTTGCCTTGAATGAGGCCTATTATGTTCTTTTCTACCTCCCTATTTTCAGTTTTGGACTTTACTACAGTAGCTTTGCATAATTCACAGTTCTAAATAATTGTTATACTCAGCTTTGGTGCAGTTCCTTCGCTCCCCTCAAGCCAACTTTCTTCTGGCTGCCCCTCAAAACCAAAAGGCT